AGCTCCTAACAACCTCGCACGCAAGTCTCGGTCAGAGAAAAGTCCATCTGAGGAACAAGACCTCGCGATCGCGTCGCCACCTCAACACCTTAAGCCCTCAACAGACCCCTACTGAGCGCTCCCTAGACTCAGCAGGACTCTACAGCGCACGCCAGACTCGACGCGACAGTCCTCAGTCGAAGCACCTCAGCCTCCTCGCCCCCTTCTTCCTCCGAGCCGACGCGCTTCGATGCCGACTCTCGTCTGTCGCCAGCTGCGCGCGTAGGGCACGCGCCGAGCTCGCAGACTCAACGACGAGAGCGACGATCGCTCGAGCTCGATCGACCCGGGAATTCCCGCGGTCGAGATCCGCACGAGGAGACAGAGCAGTAGAGCCACCGCCAGAAGCGCGACGGCGACCGCCATCGGAGACCATCTCGCAGCAGCGACAGTCTCCGCGAGACCCAGCGCGCGCCTCGCACCTAAGAGAGCCCGGAGAGCGCCCCGAAGAGTAGGCGCACGAGGCGAGCGCGCAAGAGCGGAGAGCGGAGCAGGAGATGGACAGGAGAGAAGCGAGAGCAGGCTCGAGCGTCTCGGGAGCCGCGAAAGATAGAGAAGTCCGAGAAGCTCGAGAGAAAGCGAGCTCTCCCCTCTCTCATACTCTTCTCCTCTTCCTCTATCTCTCCCTTTCCTCCGAACGAGCGCTCCCTCTGTCTCCGCCTTCTCTCTTCTTCCTCTCTCTCCCCATCCTCTCTTCTATCTCGCTAGGCTCTCTTCCTCTCGATTCTCTCCTATCGCTCTCTCCTCTGATCCTATCTCGTTTCTCTCTCTCTATCTGTCTATCTTCTCTCTCCGCGCTCTGTCTCTCCTCTCTCCATCTCTCCTCTCTCTCTCTCTCTCTCTATCTCTCTCCCTCCCCCAGCACTGTGACCTAGATACTAGCTCCAGTCGCTCCCAAAATCTGTCCCGCTCTTTGAGTCACCGGTTTCGTTCAGGGCCGTGTACCCTCCACGGACAGATGTACTGAAGTCATCGGGACAAAAAAAAGCTGACTAGGGCGACCCAGGTTTTTTAAAAAGCTGCAGCACAGTATGCTGCGAAACCAAACAGACACTGGTGGTCAATGTGAAGTCAAAGGCAATGGCAGGGCAGAGAAAAACACATAAGTAATCCTTTTAAATTGAAAATCTGTGCAGGATGAATTGAACATGTCTGTTTGGAGAGGATGTGACTTGTCAGAGAGGGAGAACAGGACAGACAGTTGATTGATGTGGTGGATGGTTGGGATTAGGACCAAGCCTAAGCTCTCCTTAAAGGGGTTTTACTGGTGGTCTTGGCTAGCCCTATCTCTGCTGCGTGTTAGCCCCAATTTAGCCCCAATTTAGCCCCAATTTAGCCCCAATTTAGCCCTGCCCTAGCCCTGCCCTATAGCCTTCTCTGCCGTAAGTCCCACAACCTCACACATTGCTGGGACTATTGGCATAACCATAACCCCCACCAAGCCTCCCAAACGCACATCTTTTTACCCATCCTCTCATTACCAAATGTTCAGCCTGTTTTTATGCTAGATGAAAAAGCACAACATGAATAATTGAAAGCAGAAAATGTAATTGGTTCGAAACCATCAAACCATCCCTTCTTCTAATTAGTATTTGATCAGTAACATGGTTAGGGAGGCTTTTCAAGACCACCATGGATGTAGCTGAATAAGTTCTTCAGCCAATACTGGGAAAGATCAGTGCGATCAACTGATTGCCCTTTAATGAGATTATACCATCTAATCTTCTTCTTCACTAAGTGAGTCGTAGATAGCCAGAGGGAATTTACGAAAGCGCCCTAAGTGAGTCACATATGTCTTATTGTGAGCCTTTGATATCAGTCTATGGATGACTGACATTAGCATTCAAATAGTTGGTCTAGTCAATCAGTTCGGAATGCAACAAACTGACCTTTCCATCAACCTGGAACTGCAACATTCAAAATGTACTGTAGCTTAATTGTTTTCGCAACCGTTGACAGTTGGTCTTTGAAGAAAGCCGTGGGCTGCCCAATTGGAGCAGTATTTACAAGCTTGTCTTTAAAGTAATCTACTTCACTGTGTAATACTGGGCTGACCAGTAGCGTAGCTTCGTTTTCTCAAACCTATAGGAATGTACACATAAAAGGGACCAACCCAATGCAATGTCCACATTAATATAGGCACAAACACAACACACATCCATGTACGCATATACATACACTAACATGGTTTCTTCAACTGGGAGAGCAGTCACAATTTAGGCTTCACATCAAATCATCCTGGTTTCTGCTGTGGGTGTCTTGCACTAGTTAGCTGTCTCAAGGAAAGATGTATGTTTGACATGAGAGGACCCTCTGTTTGACATGAGAGGATCCTCTGTTTGACATGAGAGGATCCTCTATTTGACATGAGAGGATCCTCTGTTTGACATGAGAGGATCCTCTGTTTGACATTTTAGGCAGCAAAACAGACACAAAGTCTAATGCTGACTGGATTATACCTCTCTTCTTGTCTGACTGGATTATACCTCTCTTCTTGTCTGACTGGATTATACCTCTCTTCTTGTCTGACTGGATTATACCTCTCTTCTTGTCTGACTGGATTATACCTCTCTTCTTGTCTGACTGGATTATACCTCTCTTCTTGTCTGACTGGATTATACCTCTCTTCTTGTCTGACTGGATTATACCTCTCTTCTTGTCTGACTGGATTATACCTCTCTTCTTGTCTGACTGGATTATACCTCTCTTCTTGTCTGACTGGATTATACCTCTCTTCTTGTCTGACTGGATTATACCTCTCTTCTTGTCTGACTGGATTATACCTCTCTTCCTGTCTGACTGGATTATACCTCTCTTCTTGTCTGACTGGATTATACCTCTCTTCTTGTCTGACTGGATTATACCTCTCTTCTTGTCTGACTGGATTATACCTCTCTTCTTGTCTGACTGGATTATACCTCTCTTCTTGTCTGACTGGATTATACCTCTCTTCTTGTCTGACTGGATTATACCTCTCTTCTTGTCTGACTGGATTATACCTCTCTTCTTGTCTGACTGGATTATACCTCTCTTCTTGTCTGACTGGATTATACCTCTCTTCTTGTCTGACTGGATTATACCTCTCTTCTTGTCTGACTGGATTATACCTCTCTTCTTGTCTGACTGGATTATACCTCTCTTCTTGTCTGACTGGATTATACCTCTCTTCTTGTCTGACTGGATTATACCTCTCTTCTTGTCTGACTGGATTATACCTCTCTTCTTGTCTGACTGGATTATACCTCTCTTCTTGTCTGACTGGATTATACCTCTCTTCTTGTCTGACTGGATTATACCTCTCTTCTTGTCTGACTGGATTATACCTCTCTTCTTGTCTGACTGGATTATACCTCTCTTCTTGTCTGACGGATTATACCTGACTGGATTATACCTCTCTTCTTGTCTGACTGGATTATACCTCTCTTCTGTCTGACTGACTGGATTATACCTCTCTTCTTGTCTGACTGGATTATACCTCTCTTCTTGTCTGACTGGATTATACCTCTCTTCTTGTCTGACTGGATTATACCTCTCTTCTTGTCTGACTGGATTATACCTCTCTTCTTGTCTGACTGGATTATACCTCTCTTCTTGTCTGACTGGATTATACCTCTCTTCTTGTCTGACTGGATTATACCTCTCTTCTTGTCTGACTGGATTATACCTCTCTCTTGTCTGACTGGATTATACCTCTCTTCTTGTCTGACTGGATTATACCTCTCTTCTTGTCTGACTGGATTATACCTCTCTTCTTGTCTGACTGGATTATACCTCTCTTCTTGTCTGACTGGATTATACCTCTCTTCTTGTCTGACTGGATTATACCTCTCTTCTTGTCTGACTGGATTATACCTCTCTTCTTGTCTGACTGGATTATACCTCTCTTCTTGTCTGACTGGATTATACCTCTCTTCTTGTCTGACTGGATTATACCTCTCTTCTTGTCTGACTGGATTATACCTCTCTTCTTGTCTGACTGGATTATACCTCTCTTCTTGTCTGACTGGATTATCCACCCCCCCCCCCCCCCCCCCCCCTCTCTTCTTGTCCTGACTGGATTATACCTCTCTTCTTGTCTGACTGGATTTATACCTCTCTTCTTGTCTGCTGATTATATCTCTCTTCTTGTCTGACTGGATTATACCTCTCTTCTTGTCTGACTGGATTATACCTCTCTTCTTGTCTGACTGGATTATACCTCTCTTCTTGTCTGCTGATTATATCTCTCTTCTTGTCTGACTGGATTATACCTCTCTTCTTGTCTGACTGGATTATGCCTCTCTTCTTGTCTCTTTCTATCTCTCTCTCTCTCTCTCTCTCTCTCTCTCTCTCTCTCTCTCTCTCTCTCTCGCTCTCTCTAGCTCTCTCTCTCTCTTGGCTCCTGAAGTCTCCGACCAAATGGTACATGAAACTGGTACCTGTAAATCAGATGACCAGCACTGGTCTTATTCCCCCCGTCCATCTGTCCGTTTCCATAGTGACTGTCTCTCACCGCCATCCCCATAATGTCTCTGTAGTGACTGTCTCCATAGTAAATGTCATCATTCCACACATGAACGTCAACATGTAATTGCAGTTATTGGGGACGCTTTATTTTGCAGTTAACTCGGTTTCCGTCTAGTTTCCCTGCATTAGATTTCATTCATTGTTATTGGAGGTTACTGGACATGTGATTTTGTTTATTATATTGTCGATATGATTACATTATGTCATGTTTTGATGTCAGATTTAGTATTCTCATGGTGTGTGTGTCGGTAGTCCATACATTAAACAATTTCAGAATGATTTCACAATTTCATACCTCCAATGAGAGATACACTCCATCTATATGGTGATCTGCATTCCTACATGTCTGTCTGTCTGTGTATTTCTTTTTTTCCCGTGTGTGTATGTGTGTGTGTGTGTGTGTCTGTGTGTATCCCCCTTGCCCCATCTCTCTCCCTGCCCTGGCCCATTGTCAGTCTGTTTGTCCCCTGGCAATCCAGGCTCGCCACAGGAAGGAGCAGCAGACTGTGGCCCAGCAGGTGCCCTGGATCCCCCCTGTCGATGACCTGCTGAAGGACACTTCTGACGGCTGCGCCCTGGCCTCTCTGCTGCACTTCTACTGCCCACACCTAGTCAGACTGGAAGGTACACCTCTACACAGTACTACACTGCACTATGACCGTGGGGAGGGGAGGGGAGGGGAGGGGGGGGGGGGGGGGGGGGAGGAGGAGATATGTGTGTGTGTTGGAGAGTGGAGAGAGTGAGTTTGATAGGGGAGAGTGTGTGCATTTGATTCTTGATAGATATTGTTATTTTTCTGCATTGTTGAGAAGAGTTAGCGAGCAAGCGTTTCACTGTACCATGTGCCCGTGACCAATAAACTTGAATTTGATTTGATCAACACACAACCCTCTCCAGGGGCCTAGCTGTCTGATCTATCCCATCACTGAGTCTGACGGAGTTAAGGGCTCTCCCCTGGCTAGCCTTTCATGTCCCAGAAGGACTGAGTGAGCCATCAGCCGTCCATTGGTGATGAAAATCAAATCTCATAATCAACTCATCCTTAATCTCATTAACCTTCTTGATGAAGTGGATGGGACACACACACACACACACACACACACACACACACACACACACACACACACACACACACACACACACACACACACACACACACACAAAGCTCAGTATTGAACCCCACAAACTCAGAGTGATGATTGATTTAAAGATTCTGTTTACACTTCAAAATGGCTTGAGTACCTTGTGCAAAACATCCAGTATCCTGATCCCTGATTGGTCAATCCCAGACAAGGAAGGGGACAAATAACATACAGATGCCTCTGCTTTACCGCCTTAATCCTCACGTACACACACTTCCTGATTCACTTCCAAGTTGATTGGTGCAGCACTTCTCTCAGACCCCCTTGTCCTTGTCAGATATCTGTCTGAAGGAGCGTATGTCGCTGGCGGACAGCCTGTACAACCTGCAGCTGGTGCAGGACTTCTGTCAGGAGCATCTGAACCGCTGCTGCCACTTCAGCCTGGAGGACATGGTGTACGCCTCCTCGTCCCTCAAAGTAAGTCCACAAGGCTAAGTTAAAATCTTTTAAAGGATTCACTGTAGGACAGTTGACACATTAATACCCCTTTTTCTCACTGCTGTACTGTGCTGGCTCGGATATTTTCTTTTCAGATTGTCCTTTTGAGCACAGTTCCAACAACTAGGCTTGGTAGTGTGAAAAGGGTATTGCTGTACACAGAGTTAGGCCAACGTCATTTTTAAAGGGTGCCATGTTGGCACCAAAAGTTCCAAAGAGACTTTGCAAAGAAAATGACAGTCCAAAGAGCTAAGGACACTGGGTAAACCAGGCAGAAGGACAGGCAGCTAGTGTGTGCACTGTTGCCAGAGTGGTGAGCCATGTGTACATTCATATTATGTAATAGAAAGCATGGTGGACAATGGGATCTGTCTGAAATAGATCTTGTAAACTCTGTCCTCACAAAGCACAGTTCTGGTTTGTTTAGAGTTAGATATCTCCTTATTTCTTCCGCATATAGCCTCTATAGTCTGGGGGCTTTCCACCCCCACCCAAAACCCAAACCAAAAAAAAATAAAAACCCCCCCCAAAAAATCCCCCAAAAATTTTTTACCGGAAAAACATAAGGTTTGGGCCCCAAAAGGGGGACAAAAACTCGGGAGGGTTTTTTTTAGTTTAATTTTTTAACCCCTTCCCGGGTTATTCCTTGTTGCAACCCCAGTTTCCCTTTGAAAATTCCTAAAGGGGGCATCCGGCGGAAGGTTACAATAGCTTGCGGGACCTTCTGTCGGAATTGAACCCTTGATCAGCAAAGGTTTGGTGCGCCTCCCTCCCCTAAGAAGCCAAAGGGGCCAAGAAAATTTTAAAGGAAACGAGGACATTGAACAAACCCCCTTTTTCCCCAAGGGCAAAGGGGGGGGGGGAAAAAAGAGGACCCAAGTTTAAAACACCAAAGGCTGGGGGGAAAGGGGGTGGGGAAAAAGGGGAAAAAAAGGGTGAAAGGGGTTCCCCAAAGGGGTTGGAAACCAAAATTTAAAAAGAGTTTTGCAAAAAAGAAGAAAGAAAAAAGGACCCCCAAAAGCAAAAGGACACTGGGGGAACCAAAGGGAGAAGGACACAAAAGTGGGTGTAAAAGGGGTTGAAAAAAAGATTTGGGTTTTACAATGGGTTGAAAATTTTATATTATTTTAAAGGGGAAAGCTTGGGTGGAAAAGGGATTCCCCGGCTTAAAACTTCCCTTTCAAAAAGGGGCCGGGGGGGGTTTGTGGGGTTGAGATTTAAAGGGCATATTAAGATAAGGGGCTTTGGGGAAAGTTTTGGAATTTTCCCGAAAGTGAGGGGGGGGGGGGAAGGGGGGGAGAAGGGGAACGAAGATTTAAAGCAAGAGGGGAAAACCTTTTTTTTAGGGGCCAGATGGAAAATTTAAAAGGAAGGGGATCCCGAAAAAAAAAAAAAAAGAGGGGAGGGAAAAGAAGGAGAGAAGAAAAAAGAAAGGGGGGAAAGGAAAAAAGAAGAGAGAGAGAGGGGAGAAGAGAAGGGAAGAAGAGAGAGAGAGAGAAGAGAAAAGAGAGGAGAGAAGAAGAGAGGGGGGGAAAAAGGGGGAAAGTAAAGAAGCGAAGAAGAGAGAGAGAGAGAGAGAGGGGGAGAGGAGAGGAAAAGGAGAAGAGAGGGAGAAAAAGGGGGGAGAAGAGAGAGAAAAAAAGGGAAAGGAAAAAAAAAAAAAAGAAAAAAAAAAACCCAAACAAGCCGTCCATCTCCTCTCTCTCTAATCTTTTCTCCTTATTTTAAATTTTCTTCTTTTTCCCCCCCCCCCTTCTCTCTATCTCTCTCTCTCTCTCTCTCTCGTTTCTCTCTATTGTTCCTAAATTTTTCACTGGAAGCTATAATATGTATTCCTGAGCAGTATGGATGAACATACAGTGCATTCGGAAAGTTTTCAGGCCCCTTTACTTTTTCCACATTTTGTTACATTACAGCCTTATTCTAAAATGGATTAAATAAAACAAATTCCTCATCAATCTACACACAATACCCCATAATGACAAAGCGAAAACAGTTTTTTATTTTGTTTAGCAAATGTATTAAAAATAAAAAACAGAAATACCTTATTTACATAAGTATTCAGACCCTTTGCTATGAGACTCGAAATTGAGCTCAGGTGCATCCTGTTTCCATTGATCATCCTTGAGATGTTTCTACAACTTGATTGGAGTCCACCTGTGGTAAATTCAATTGATTGGACATGATTTGGATAGGCACACACCTGTCTATATAAGGTCCCACAGTTGACAGTGCATGTCAGAGCAAAAACCAAGCCATGAGGTCGAAGGAGTTGTCCATAGAGCTGCGAGACAGGATTGTGCCGAGGCATAGATCTGGGGAAGGGTACCAAAACATGTCAACACAGTGGCCTCCATCATTCTTAAATGGAAGATGTTTGGAACCACCAAGACTCTTCCTAGAGCTGGCCGCCCGGCCAAACTGGGGGAGAAGGGCCTTGGTCAGGGAGGTGACCAAGAATCCGATTGTCACTCTGACAGAGCTCTAGAGATGGGAGAACCTTCCAGAAAGACAACCATCTTTGCAGCACTCCACCAATCAGGCCTTTATGGTAGAGTGGCCAGACAGAAGCCACTCCTCAGTAAAAGGCACATGACAGCCCACTTGGAGTTTGCCAAAAGGCACTTGAAGACTCTCAGACCATGAGAAACAAGATTCTCTGGTCTGATGAAACCAAGATTGAACTCTTTGGCCTGAATGCCAAGCATCACGTCTGGAGGAAACCTGGCACCATCCCTACGGTGAAGCATTGTGGTGGCAGCATCATGCTGTGGGAATGTTTTTCAGCGGCAGGGACTGGGAGACTAGTCAGGATCGAGGCTAAGATGAACGGAGCAAAGTACAGAGAGATCCTTGATGAAAACCTGCTCCAGAGCGCTCAGGACCTCAGACTGGGGCGAAGGTTCACCTTCCAACAGGACAACGACCCTAAGCACACAGACAAGACGACGCAGGAGTGGCTAAGGGACAAGTCTCTAAATGTCCTTGAGTGGCCCAGCCAGAGCCCGGACTTGAACCCGATCGAACACCTCTGGAGAGACCTGAAAATAGCTGTGCAGCAATGCTCCCCATCCAACCTGACAGAGCTTGAAAGGATCTGCAGAGATGAATGGGAGAAACTCCCCAAATACAGGTGTGCCAAGCTTGTAGCGTTATACCCAAGAAGACTCGATGCTGTAATCGCAGCCAAAGGTGCTTCAACAAAGTACTGAGTAAAGGGTCTGAATACTTATGTACAGTGCCTTGCAAAAGTATTCATCCCCCTTGGCGTTTTTCATATTTTGTTGCATTACAACCTGTAATTTAAATGGATTTTTATTTGGATTTCATGTAATGGACATACACAAAATAGTCCAAATTGGTGAAGTGAAATGAAAAAAATAACCTGTTTCAAAAAATTCTAAAATATAAATCATGGAAAAGTAGTGCGTGCATATGTATTCATCCCCTTTGCTATGAAGCCCCTAAATAAGATCTGATGCAAACAATTACCTTCAGAAGTCACATAATTAGTTAAATAAAGTCCACCTGTGTGCAATCTAAGTGTCACATGATCTGTCACATGATCTCAGTATATATACACCTTTTCTGAAAGGCCCCAGAGTCTGCAACACCACTAAGCAAGGGGCACCACCAAGCAAGTGGCACCATGAAGAACAAAGAGCTCTCCAAACAGGTCAGGGACAAAGTTGTGGAGAGGTACAGATCCGGGTTGGGTTATAGAAAAATATCTGAAACTTTGAACATCCCACGGAGCACCATTAAATCCATTATTAAAAAATTGAAAGAATATGGTACCACAACAAACCTGCCAAGAGAGGGCCGCCCACCAAAACTCACGGACCAGGCAAGGAGGGCATTAATCAGAGAGGCAACAAAGAGACCAAAGATAATCCTGAAGGAGCTGCAAAGCTCCACAGTGGAGATTGGAGTATCTGTCCATAGGACCACTTTAAGCCGTACACTCCACAGAGCTGGGCTTTATGGAAGAGTGGCCAGAAAAAAAGCCATTGCTTAAAGAAAAAAATAAGAAAACACGTGTGGTGTTCGCCAAAAGCCATGTAGGAGACTCCCCAAACATATGGAAGAAGGTACTCTGGTCAGATGAGACTAAAATTGAGCTTTTTGGCCATCAAGGAAAACGCTATGTCTGGCGCAAACCCAACACCTCTCATCACCCCAAGAACACCATGTTTTTCATCGGCAAGGACTGGGAAACTGGTCAGAATTGAAAGAATGATGGATGGCGCTAAATACAGGGAAATTCTTGAGGGAAACCTGTTTCAGTCTTCCAGAGATTTGAGACTGGGATGGAGGTTCACCTTCCAGCAGGACAAAGACCCTAAGCATACTGCTAAAGCAACACTTGAGTGGTTTAAGGGGAAGCATTTCAATGTCTTGGAATGGCCTAGTCAAAGCCCAGACCTCAATCCAATTGAGAATCTGTGGTATGACTTAAAGATTGCTGTACACCAGCGGAACCCATCCAACTTGAAGGAGCTGGAGCAGTTTTGCTTTGAAGAATGGGCACGCTCAATTTCTGTTTTTTAAATCTTATTTCTTGTTTGTTTCACAATAAAAAACATTTTGTATCTTCAAAGTGTTAGGCATGTTGTGTAAATCAAATGATACAACCCCCCCCAAAAAAATCAATTTTAATTCCAGGTTGTAAGGCAAAAAAATAGGAATAATTCCAAGGGGGTGTGAATACTTTCGCAAGCCACTGTAAATGTGATATTTCAGTTTTTGGTTTGTAATAAATTAGCTAAATGTTCTAAAAAACAGTTTTTGCTTTGTCATTATGGGGTATTGTGTGTAGATTGATGGGGGAAAAAAACAATTTAATCATTTTTAGAATAAGGCTGTAACGTAACAAAATGTGGAAAAAATCAAGGGGTCTGAATACTTTCCGAAGGCACTGTATATGGCCTGTGTCGCTGTTGTCTTCTAGGCTGTGAATAGAGGTATTGGCCACCTGT